AGCCACTCTTTCATGGCAATGTTGTAAGTTTGCCAATCGGAAATTTGAAGAAATACTAAAATAAATATGTTCTTAATTAACTTGCCATTTTCTCAAACTTATTATCGCCTCAAGAAGAAAACCGTTATGTGGGGAATATAACTATGTTTTCGCTAAAGTACTAAAAGCCAAAAACTTATATTAAAACCTGAAGACCTTTCCATTTTTTCCACTTATGCCATCCAAAAAATTCGTTTTCATATCAGTTTGTTTATCGACAGATAAAATGCCGGAAAATTTGAACACCTTGGTAAATATTGATTAACTTGACAATTTTAATCTCTTAGCTTATACGCTTATGTTCTGGAAAAATTTTCTTAATTTACTTTTCAGAAAAATTGTAAATCAACATCATTGTTAAGAACATAATTAATTTTCTCATTGTTATCCACCAAAAACTAACAACGACAAATATTTTGAATTGTCTATCATAAAATCTGATGTCGCTTTGATTTTCGGTTGTTGCCTTTAGGTCGTTGCTGACGTCATTGTTTACCGTTTGCCACAATAACACATGTCTTTGCGACGACATCATGGAAAATACAAATTGACTAAAGCAATGTAAAAAACTTTTTAATTTTAGCAATTGGTGAAATTTTGAGTTCTCTGGGTGCCATATTGAAGGAAATATTGACTCATAAAAAATGCAAGAATTGTTGGTGGCAAAAGCGCCAGTAAGCCCATGCATTCTTTGTAAAATTCTACCGTCGTCTTGAAACACACATCACACAAACAATATTGGATGTATTGGGCTAACATTTCTTGGGATGTTTTATCGTGTCATGCCCATTCAATGTTCAGAGTTCGCATTATTGTAGGTGATCTGAAGTTGAAGCTGCCCATGCTAATGAGGTATTTTAGATTAGAGAGATCGTTTAAAACGGGTTTGCCTCTTTGTTGGTCAAGCAAGTAATTAATGACGAATTTTAACTAGAATATCGATTTTTTTTTTTTCAAGTGCTCTTCGAGGTGGATTAACTTCCGAGAGAACCTTTTTTCAAAGGGGCTTACTATCAGAAGGAATTTCAAGTTTCAAAACTCGTTATACTTTGAAGAAAATTTAATTTTCGTTGTAAAAATGCTTGGGCTCAAGTTTGGAGGGAACATCGCGTTTCAAAAATGGAAGGGCTTAAATCAGAAATGGGGTTTTTTGCGTGTTAAAACTTTTAGTTGCGTACATGATATTCTTCAAAGTGAAGCAATGTAAACATAACGGTTTGAAGCATGAAATAAGCTTCACAGGTGAGATAATGCACCAGAAATCTCTCAACATACTCTCACGATGTAGAACTCAAAACAATCTCTAAGGGGGTTAAGTTTTATACTCGGAACAAGTGACATCCTGTCGGCTTAAGAGCCTAATCTAAATACAAGACCAAGGGTTTTTATTCTGCGGAAGGGTTTCATTCAGGGCTAAATCTACTTCGAGGGTCTCAATGGAGTCTCAATTAACCAATAGCCGTAAAAAAGCACTAACTTTTAACCGTTAGCCTTAATTACATTGGGTTGACGCTGTAAATGAATAACTATTACATTCAGACAATGAACTTAAATGATATTAATTCTCGTCACAAAGTCTGAATTGAAAAGCTTAAGCAAACGAAGCTTTCAACCGTATCTCGCAGTCCTCTTCAGCAAAGATCTGTGAGACACAATCGAACACTTAGTTTGCTTCATGGCAGACATTGTGACGAGAATTATTATTATTTTAACCCAAGGTCAAGAATCAACGTTAACTCTTTATTTTATTTTATTGCATTTTATTTTCTTTTATTATTCTATTTTTTTAAGGAAATATCGAGCCTGAAATTTGCGAAACAATTAAAAATTAAGAATATTTTAAGAATAAACCCGAGGCTGAGTTTTTGAAAAGAATATCATTTTGTGTGCTGAAAATTTGTAAGTACAATACAATTATATGCTTGTAATTAAACCTTATAAAATTATAAAAACTAAACAAAAGACAACAAAAACAGCACTAGCCATACGGTTCGATCCTAATCGAACGTTTCTGCAGGATCTAGACACCAAACACCAAACACTTGAAATTGATACTCCAATCTATTCTACTACGGAAATGTCATACTCTATATATAATGTAAGTGAAGGCGCGGGGGCCTCATGTGTATATGGGTACTGGCGAATTTAATGCTGGGGGGTAACCTTATGATGGGAACGCAGACGTATTTCCAGCTGTCACTTGGATCCACCGAAAATAACGTTGTTTTCGGCGGAACCAAGTGACAGCCGGAAATAAGGCTACATGCTACCTTCATGGTTCATGAAACCGGGATGTGCTCCGACCTGATGGGCCACTTAACTCGTATCCAGACTTGTATATAAATTAAGAATATTCACAAGAATATTTTCAACCTAAAACCTGGAGTTAAAAAGAATATTCGGCCTGGGCCAGAAAAACAGTATTCTTAAAAAAGAAAAAAGAAAGAAAAGAGCGTACATGCATAGTCTCAGACAATAAACTTTTACAGAATCCCAACCAGTGGGAAGCTCGCTAGTTGGTTAGTTTGTTCTTGCAACCCGTGTCCTGAACAACTGGCACAAGAGACTCTCGTTCGGCGTAGGAGAAACCAGCTGCTCGCAGGGTAACTAGAACGCTGCGCAAAGATGAAGATATTAAGTGAACTTCTTGAAGGGAGAGTGAGTTTTCAGTGATTTTTCCAAGACATGACCACAGAATTAGAAATCGTCTGCCATACCTTTTGAATTCGACATCACAACCTTTCGGCTTGCTTAACACATAACAAATTCCTTTTAGATCTTCAGCCCGCTAAATATGATTTACTTTTGTTAAAAATTACTGATCATGTTTATAGTAAAGGTTTCCATCAATGAAAATATATCTTTTAGATTTTTTGATTTTTTTGGAGGTCATTATCAAGCCTTTGCTTCGAATCAGACAACAGCTAAAATGCATCTCGTAAATACTGGCCATTGCTAACGTTAACGTTGTGCTTTTTCACAAACAAACACGTCAACTTGTCTATGTTAATGGCGCTGTCAAACATTAATGCAAAATATAACAAAGTAAAATTAAAAATTAGTAGCCCAGATTTTGTCAGTTAACGCGAGGATGGTTGTGGTACTTTTCCATAATGTGTCTGCGTTCGTGGGTTTTAGGGTGGACGGGAAAAACGTTGCGAAAACGGCAGTGTCAACACAAAGCACTTTCTGCGAGAAACGCATCATTGACAAGTAGGCAAGGCATCGTTTCAAACTGACACTGGTGTAGATGGAGCCTAAGGTGTTTACAGGTCTAGAGAAAAGATTTCTCATCGAAACGTTGGATAATAATACATACATGTCATAACTACTTTTTAACCGAGAGTGAAATTTTCCTTACGGGAAAATCTCAGACCGAGACCTTGCCGTATTGACCGAACGAAGCGTGCAACAGCCTCGCTTGCCTCGATACTTGCTATGTACCTAAAAGAGTAATCATTGCAGTGGGTTTTAGCTTGATGTTTATTTTTCACAAGTAGACAATTAAGGCCCTTGTTTTCTTGATAAGAGATTAAATTAAAAGACTAAAAGGAACGTTATGGCAGAGGACTTTTAATATTAATACAGGGGCTAATTTGGTAAATATTAATTTGTTCTTACTCTTTACGGGATCTATTTTTGTGATTTGTGACTTTTTCTGGGAATGAAAATGGCACAAAATTAATTCAAACCAAGAACGTTAAATTGCATTTTGGAATATTCTTGCGCGAGAGACTATTTTGGGACGTTCTTGTTTGTAGAACCGAAGAAAAATGCCATATGGAAGATGCTTTTTGATTATACAGAACTGTCATCTCAGTTTGAAAGCAGATGACAAACTGTTTTCAAATGACAAATTTAAAACATTAAAGTATTCTGCAAAACCCACCTGCCGTCATGGCTACAGCAAGCGGGGTGGGAAGCGAGGGGGAGGGGGGCGTTGTTCCGTTCTCATTTCATGTTCAAAGTCATGTTTTCCTAAGTAGTTGTTGTGCATTTACAGGGTCTATGGAAGTTATCAGGTTTTTCACGAGTTATTGTATATATTAAAGCGACTGACTGACTGACTGACTGACTGACCGACTGACTGACTGAGTTACATCCATCGATGTTTTTGGGTTCTCCCATGTCATCTAGGCGGATTTAAGAGATGGTATTATACAGTAACTAACCCAGTTTTGTTTGTTCCTACTGTGTTTAAACTGGCGGAAACGGATCCTATCGCCTGGATTTAGGAGCAGCTGCTGTTGCTTTTCCAAATATTGCAGGTGACTTTTATTTTTTCCAATCCAAACTTTTACCCGTTAAAATCAAAAAATGTTATATTTTACATATCAAGAGAGCTCGAGGTAACATTTTCCAAGAAAAAATTCAGGCGCCCATTACACTAGTAAGCAGCAAGCAGCTATTCCACCAAATTATCGGCCCATTACACTTAAACCATCTAGTGCTGCCAGCATTCACAGAGATCAAAGTGATGCCGGAAATGGGCTTCAATTACCTTTGTTACAGCTAAAAAGTAACTTTTACATTGGCTTTTTCGCTGGATTGACATTTTTCCACCAGCAGCCAATGAGGGCGCTTGATCTTACTACGCAAGAAAAAGATACCACATTAAAAATTAAATATACATATATTTGAAGATAATTAGCGTGTACTGAGTCAAATTTCGTTCGTGCAGGAGCTTAACTAATGCTTGTGTGTTATTGTTCTCCATTTGATTTTGGGATTTGTGACCTTTTCTAGATCTGGGGGCAAATTAAGTAACCAAAATCGTTTGCATGTTTGCGTTATTGGTGCAATTTTGTGATGCTACTTTAAAGAAAATAAAGAACTGTTAGCTTTAAGTTTAAACACGGACGTCAAACTGTTTTCAAGTGGGAAATTAAAAGTCATAGTATTCCCTTAGACCACCTGCCTTTATTAATATAACATTCAACGCAAGAAATGTTTACGGGGGGAGGGGGGAGGAGGAAGGAGGACGTAATTCCACATATAATGATTTTTCTTCCCAAGGTCAAATTAACCCTGTCGGTGGTGTTCGTGCATTTGCGTGCAATTCTCGTTGAAAGAATTGAGTGTTACACAAAAAGGATTCTCCTGAAGGTAGCCATGCAGTGTCAATAATTTCGAAATTGGCAGACTCTGATAATGAGTTGAAAGAGATGAAATTTTCGGCGCCGACGGAACAGTGCCGGGATCCATCTTTAGTCACTGTAGCTCCCTTAAAAATGTTTATCAGATTATATGAAAATAGTTCCGATCTCTCAATTCCCAGATATTTAAACGGTCTAGATGGATCTTCATTTGTTTTCGTGTTTCTCGATCCAGTGGTTTCATTCAAAAGCAGCCTAGATCACAGCATCCCTAAAATATTGTTCATTTGGCGTTGCATTCCCCCCCGTCTCCGTCCTCGCCCCGCTGTTGTTTCACAAGCATCTTTTTTTCAGCACGTCAGCTTAGTTAAAAAAATCTGTTGGCTCACGACACACTTAACAGCAGCTGCGTGCTAGCTAATTTTAAAATCAAAGTAACTGGAAGATGAAGGCGACACCACGCAAGCTTTTCTTTCTTGTGCAGTTTCTCTTGCCTTACTTCAGTCGAACAGAATTCTGTTACGAATCACATGGCTCGATCCTGTATAACCTAGTTTTGATCGGCCACGCTTACAAATCCTTTTTAACCCGCGGGATTCTCAATTGCGGGCAAAGGTGTTTGGCGGATACCCGGTGTACATCGTATAACTATCAGACTTCAGCTATCAAAAATGGCGTATGTGAGCTGAATGAAAACCGCGTTGAGAGAAGGGAACTCTTTGAGGAGAAGCCAGGCTTTGCCTTTGTTCGCATGAGACGCAAAACGGTAGGTAGTGTGTTGGTTTTGCCGAGTCACTTGATGAGTATATTAGAATTTCATGTCTTGAATCGCCACTAACAAATCCTGCGAGTAAATGCCAAGGCAACAATATTTATTTTCTCGTTATTTTGTAAATTTTGATTGAGTTAGTTTCCCAGAAAAAAGACCAGGACCGAGAGTAAGGTGGCCTCGCATTCGGTGGCTGCGCCCAAAGTACGAAAACAAAACCGTACCCTCCTACAGAAACGACACGATCAAAGTGTTTTTCTCGTTGCGCATGCTAACAAAAATGAACACTATGTTTAAATTGTTGTGGCCTCTACTAATACTGAACTCGAGAATTCACGTTTTAATCTAACAGGTTATCAGTATTAGCATATTGTCACAGAGTTATTTTTGCCTTTTTATCTTTTATCGTAGTTTGGTTTATATTTTACATTTTTCAATTTGTTATTGTAATCGTACTTGGCGTCACTTGGCAGGCGGGCGATCCTTTTCAGCGACAAATTTGACGCTTAGAGGCACAAAATGTTTAACATTTTTCATTTGTTACCATCTGTCATGGCTTTTGACATTTCAAATCCATTTTCAGTTGAATATTCAATGCGGTCTCAAGTGACAGCTCTGGACCGGTTGTCATCCTTTCCTTGTCTGGGCAATTCTTCCGCACACATGCTGAATGCTGATCGGTTTATGCAAATCCCCTGTAGTTACTCTTACTTTCTTTTAATCGCCTCTCTTTGTCGATTTTGATTGTTTCTGAGCCATACATGGTGGTTTACTAACGTTGTGTAAAAATCATGAAGTCCAAGATGGCGGTCTCGCTCTCGGAGAAGTGTTTCACCCAAACTGTGCCCCTCGGAGGGGCACCAACATGGCGGCCGCACTAAGTAACACAAACATCTGTCATCGAAGTTTTGCTATTAAAACGAAAAGTTATTACTCTAGAGTTCGGACACATTAAAATTAATACTTCCTCTAGTACAAGAAATTTTCAGTTAGCAAATAGTTTAGCAAAGAGTCATCTCTTGACCAACGCGACAACCTTCTCGTTCGAACATTTTTCAATATGTCAATCGCGCAACGCGAAAGCTTGGAAATTCAATCGTGCTCTATAACAAAACGAAGAACCCTGTCTAGTTAAAACTTCAAGTACCAAGATGTTCTTATATCTGATGAAATTAAAACGTCAGAAGTATATCCAATTCCTTATTTCGAAATTGATGACGTCACATGGAAACCAGCAATTCCTTTTCTAACATTTTGTCATGATTTTACAGAAAACGAGAAGTTGTCTGGAGGCCTGGAAACAGGGAACTCGTGCATCAGGGCTCTACTTCATGCAAGGGAGATCGGAGTGTCTCTTGTACGAAATGTTCTGCGACTTCAGCTCGGAACCCGGCTGGGCCTGGACTCTAGTCATGTCCCAAAGCTTGGAGAGGAGAAGTGAACCTTTCGCAAAGGGTTCGTTTCCAGCGGGAGGATCTAAGAAACAGCGCAACCCGAACTGGGAGGGATACAGAATCGGAGGGAGTCGAATGAGGATTGTAAAAGCGCAGTCGAGCCACTGGCGAATCACTTGTGATTTTCCAACCTACGGAGTTGACCACAGGGACTATGTCCGAGCTGCATTCATAAATCTGAATCCACTGAAATACAAAGCTAGTGGTGAATGCCGGGAAATGGAGTATATTAACATCCGGGGACGTAACTGTAGCCAGTGCACCGCGGCTTGGTGGCAGACAACAAGTCAACAGTTGACGCACTTCAGTGATCTTGATGGCTGCCAGTTGGGTAAAATAGACGGTTCTCTTGACAACGAGGCCAATTTTGGAGGGTACTGGAAGAATAATTTCAGTTCGGAGTTCCGTTGCTCTTCCAAGGAAACATCGAGCACCAATCTGTGGTTTGGAGGCAGGGTATAGAGAAATGACCATGCAGCTCGTGTTACGTTGGAGGACGCCCGCCATGCCTAATGGCAATAATAGTTATTTTAATAAAATTGTTGACAGGTGGAATGCACTTTCAAAAGATCAAAGACAACGTCGATTAAAATGACTTAATATTCAACCTAAGAACCTCGCGAGAATTTAGATTCATTCAGTTTGTCTATACTGTCAG